TTCCGAAATATTTAAGGAAAAGAAAAATCATACCTGTGGGTTTAGAGTGTTCAATCCCTTTAATACCCAATCCATTATCTTATTCCAATTAAATTTCATAAATAATTACTTTCTTGTGGGACCAAGAAATTATTTATAAAACAAAATTGCAATGTAAAAATGCCAAATTAATTTTTAACTTTGTGTGATCAAAATACTAAGGACCACATCTTTATGTCTTAAGATGCTGTGGCTACTCTTAAAACAGAATAAAATTTTTAAATATGACATAGTTCATTAATGAGAGCAAATCCTTATAGTCACAACAAATATATAATCTTTTAATGCACATAATGTATAATACATGCAATCAGAGTAATATCACATGAAAAATCTCAAAACCAAACACATGTAATTCAACCTTATACTAGATTTTGCTTAAAAATTGGACCAAAATAAATTCCATAAGCCCAACACATAGTGTATACATGCTTTTATTTCACATGAATTTTCAATGCATAAATAATTACCTTAATGCATGTAATATAATATTATATTATTTTAGATGAATCTCAAAAATTATAAAATTATAAAGGAACATGTTGTAATTCATTGTATGAAATTCAATTAAATTTTCTCATTACTTTCACATGCAACTACAATAAAATGTCTTTCATAACATGTCATTCCTACTATAATATTTAATAATAAATTAAACTAGTGTAGGTTTCAAAGGTTAAGGCTAAATATTGATCTACTCATAACCATATATACAGGACTAATTGTGTGATAACCCTGTTCCGTATTATGCTAATTCGCCCTTATTATGAATGTGATTATGTGTTTGATATGATTTTGTGTGCCATTTATGTGAAAATATGTGGTTTTGAATTTCTATCTATTCACCGTAGGAATATCTGTTTGATTGTCTGCTTTGGAATTTAAATTGAGGGCCTTATCGGTCACAGAAGCCAAAATTGACTTTGCCATTGTGATTGGCGTAATTTTTAGAGCCTACGGTGAAATTTAATTGAGAATTGATTCGGATCAGATTAATTAGATTAAATTAATGATATAGTGCCCAATTATTTAATGTTGATAATTGTAATTAAGGGAACTTATATAAGTGGAGCATTATACACTAAATTCCTCTCTTTTAATTCAATTTGGCTAAATTTAGCTCTCTAGGGGTGAGAGACCCGAAATTAGAGAGAGAGAGAGAGGGGAGACAACCTAAGGTTTGATCAAGAGGCTTGGAATCTTGAAGTTAAACTCAAGAATTAACCATAGATTGGGAAGATTGAACTTCTAGGTGAGTGATTGATTATGAATTCATAAGTTTAGTATTGTAACTTTGTGAATTCAAGGCTTGATGATGATCAAGAACATAACTTGAATTGAATTTGTTGAATTTGGAGCTTGTGTAAACATGTATGTGCATAATTGTTGTAATTTTGTATGTTCAGGCATGAGGCATGTTGAATATGAGGAATTAAGCACCAAACCTTACATGCATGAGTAATTTTGTGTAGCTTCATGATTTTGAACCCCATTTGCACCATTTGAAATAGAAATAAAGTCAAAAATTGACATGCATGTATGTTTGATGAAGTTATGAAATTGGTGTGAAGATTGAGCACATGAGTTTGGACCATACAAGAGAAATGAGAATTTATTTGAGAATTAAGTTGTGATTTTGAGCAATTCGGTCTAATATACTCATGTTCTCATGTGGTATAGTATATTTTGCATGTTTTGAACCAAGATTATGAGTTTTGAACCTTTGGAGGTCAAGTTTGAACTTGAGGAACAATTATGGATTTTCCAGAATTTGGGATGTCCGCTCGAGCGGGGAAGGCGCCGCTCGAGCGGGAAATACGAGCTCCCAGAACTTTTTGCAGACATGATGTCCGCTCAAGCGGGGAAGTTCATGCTCGAGCGGGGAGCTATCTAGAATGACCTCCAGCTCGAGCGTTCTAGTTCACGCTCGAGCGTAAAAATGAGGTGACTAGTACTTTTGCAGACCTAATGGGTCCGCTCGAGCGGGGAGATCCATGCTCGAGCAGGGACCCCTGTTTCTGAAATTTTGTAAATGTGTTATGTGTTTCATTTTCCGTTCTCTTTCACTTCTAAGTACTCTTAGGCATGCATTAAGCATTGTAAATGAGATAAGAGGATAAGAATGAAGCCTACAGAGGAATATGTGAATTAAGAACGGATTGAATTATTTGTGACCCATTGTGTTCTTGGAATGTGTAGGGTCAAGCTCCAGGGCAAATCATCCAGCCGATCACTGTGAGTAATATCTTCATAAAGATGTTTGAAGTATGTTATTTGTCCCATTGCTTACTCCTATGTAAGTCTTATAAGTTCGTTAATTTGAATGGTGGACAAATGTTTGCTATGCCAAATGAATGGGCTAGAGGCCAGTTTGACATGAATGAAAGAATGAATGGGCCAGAGGCCATATGACATGAATGAATGGGCCAGAGGCCGTATGACACGAATGAATTAGGCCCGAGGCCGTATGATGTGTTTGGAACCGCAGTTACTTGACTTATATTTATATATATGCTAGATAGAAATACTTATTGGGCCCAAGGCCGTTTGAAGCACGTTGTTCTAAATACCGTTTGTGTAACTTCTTTATTTGATATTATTCACTGGGCTTTCGCTCACGCTCATTCATGTGTCTATAGGTGAGCCAAGGGAGATCCAAACCCAGCCTCAGTGAAGTTTGTGTGAAACAGTCAAGGTTTTGACGAGTCAGGCCAAACGTCTCGCGCACGAGACTTGTCTTCGCCTCTTTTGTTCTTTTGTTATGGTTTTGTTATATTGGCGAAAACATTGGATCACTTTTGTATATAAACTTTGGGTTTGCCCGACTTAGACTTAACGATCCTGCATGTACAGAACTTTGTGTTATTACCTATTTTGACGTGAGTTATTAACATGTATGTATATGTTTGTTATGATGTGCCATGTAAGCACAACTCTATGGATAGTTTGTAAGTTTGCTTCCGTTTGGCCCCTTTACTCTGATGAGTTATGCCTGCTTTAGTTTGAGGCCGTAGGTAATCCTTTGAATACTGGCTGATTATGTCCTTAACCCATAGGGGCGGGTTCGGGTCATGACAGAGTGGTATCAGAGCACGTGTTAATAACTCACACTTGTCCAAATGAGCAATAAGCGTCTAGAAAAGATCTAGGATGCAATCATGTGATAAGTATGAATTTGAAAGCATCGAGATTACGCTTAAATGTTTTAATGTGAACGATTATGTGTTATAAGTTTGCGATTTTCTTGCATTGCAAATTATTTGAATATGTATGCTCTTTAGTATATGCATACCTATAAATCTTTTGTATAAAGTATAATGCAAGTCTAATCAGATGGTGAGAACAAGAGGTGATGAAATAGAGGAGTCCTTTACTGCCAGAATGGATAGAATGGAAAGATTGATTCAAGAAATGGCAGAGACGTTGAGGCAACAACAATAGTGGCAACAACAGTGGCAACAACCACAACCTCCACCTCCGGCACCACCCGTGCCAGACTTACAGAATGATGACCGAATAATAGCTCTCACTAAAGAGTTTAAGAAAATAAAGCCACCACTGTTTCACAAGGGAGTGGATCCATTGAAAGCAGAAGCTTGGGTCCATGGTATTGAAAAATTATTTGAAGTATTCCCATGCCTTGAAACACAGAAAGTACAGTTGGCCACCTTTACACTGGAGGATGAAGCAAGAAGGTGGTGGATGCTAATTCGTAATGACAACAAGGGCATATGCTAGACACGGTTTCTTGAGCTCTTTTATGATAAGTATTTTTCACAGTGTGTCCATGATAGAGAGGTGTCTAAATATGAGGGGTTGAAGCAAGGCAATATGATTGCAGTTAAGTATGAGGCCAAGTTTACCGAACTGGCTAGATTTGCACCGCATATGGTTGACACCGACTATAAAAATGTGAGAAAATTTGAGGGCAGTCTTCGTAACGATATCCTGGAAAGGGTGAATGTACTGAAATTTCCTACTTATGTTGATGTGCTAGACTGGGCTTTAATGTCAAAAACTAATATGGCCAATCAAAATAAACCGTTTGAACGGAAAGGCAAGAGGCAAGGCTTCTTTTTGAAGAAGAAGATGTTTAAGAAGCAAATACGGGTTCATCGAGTTCTAGCCCTTCAAGGGACTCTGCATCAACATGTAACATCTGTGGTAGAAAACACCAGGGAGTTTGTTACCACACATCTAGGGTGTGTTTTCGATGTGGCAAAACTGGGCATTTGGTTAGGTGGAAGACCATCCGTTAGCTCAACTGGATCTATCCATGAACCAAGGAACACCGTGAGACCTAACGCTACCAAAGACACATTGAGGCAAGAAAGAGTCTTTGTACTCGTCCCAGGTGACCTACAGAATACTAAAGCTGTTGTCTCAAGTACTATCTCTATACGTAATCAAGATGCCTTTGTGTTAATGGATTTAAGATCCACACATTCCTTTGTGTCTACTACATTTGCATTTAGATTAAATAGACCCTTAGAATCATTGCCATACCTGTTGTATGTATCTGCTCCATCTGGAGAGTCTCTGTTATGTACATTTGTGTACCGTGTTTGTGATATGCATATTGGCAATGTTACCTTATGTATAGATTTGTTACCTTTGGATATTAGACACTTTGATGTAATTATGGAAATGGACTGGTTGTCTAAGTACTATGCTACTATTGACTGTGTAACAAAATGGATTATGTTTAGATCACCAGGACATGATGAATTTGAATTTGTTGGTAATGGTGTAGTGCCTCCACCTTATCTAATTTCAGCAATGAAAGCATGTAAACTTCTTAGGAAGGGGCGTTAGGGTTACTTGTGTAGTATCTTTTAATGTGTAGCTATGAATGTTGAAATGGATAGTATTCCTATTTTTAGAGAATTTCTAGATTTATTTCCTGATGAACTGCTAGGAGAATTGGTTGGTAGAGAAATTGAGTTTACTATCGATATTGCGCTACGCACCCAGCCCATCCCCAAAACTCCTTACAGAATGTCAACTGTTGCAATGAAAGAATTGAAAGAATAGTTGCAAGACTTGCTTGATAAAGGGTTTATCCGACTGAGCACTTCGCCACGGGGCACACCGGTTTTATTTGTAAAGAAAAAAGATGAGACTTTACGTTTGTGCATTGACTGCCGAGAATTGAACACGGTAACGATCAAAAATAAATACCCTTTGCCCTGTATTGATGATTGTTTGATCAGCAGTAGGGATCACAAGTATTTTCAAAAATTGATTTAAGATCCGGATACCACCAGTTAAAGGTAACGACATAGGATGTTGAAAAGACTGCATTTCAAACAAGGTGTGGTCAATACAAATTTCTTGTAATGCCATTTGGAGTGACTATTGCACCTGCAACATTTATGGATCTTATGAACCACATTTTCAAATCCTACCTTGATGAGGTTTTTGTGGTCTTTATCAATGATATTCTGATATATTCAAAAAGTAGAACTAAACATGAACAACATCTGAGAATTCTCTTGAGAACACTTAGAGAAAAGAAATTATTTGCTAAACTGAAGAAATGTGAATTTTGGTCGGATGAGGTTATCTTCTTAGGGCATGTTATCAACAGAGATGGGATTTTTGTAGACCCACAGAAGATAGAGGCAATTGTGAATTGGCTTACACCGACTAACGTAACGAAAGTCCGCGACTTCATGGGCTTAGCTGGGTATTACAAACGGTTTGTGAAAGAATTCTCCAAGATAGTTGTACCGTTCACCTAACTTACACGCAAGGGACAACTGTTTGAATGGAATGATGAAAGGGAATCTTCCTTCCAAGAACTGAAAATGAGATTGACTACTGCACCAATGTTA